TGGCGGCTGGCACTTTTAAACAATTGTGTAGACCGTAGCTGAAATTGCAAAGCAATCCTATTCATATACCTCCTCTGTTCTTCTTCGGTCCAAGGAAGCTCAATCCTCTGAGAATTTGCGTTCGAGCCTGTCAACTCGAGTTCGAATATTCCCCTCATGTGTCTATCCAATGCTTTAATTGCTGTACGCACGAGGTCTGTTCTTTCGTGCCGAGCAAGCTGTTGTTCAATGACTTTAGAAAAGACCAACTCTATAGCATCGCGGCGTAAGTCGTTTATATCCTTATTGCAGACCTCTAAAACTGCTACATCCGACGAAGACCCTCGACTCAGCCCCTTGACAGCAGCCCCGCCTTCCTGTCTGACGCCAAAGGACGAATGAGAAGCAGTTCTGCCGCAGCCTTCAGCAGATGATGATGCTATTGTTGCTGTACCAGCTACTGCAGCCCGCTGGCCGCTGGGTCCAGAAGGGTGCCCATCCTCAGCTGCACGTCCTGGCTCTGGAGAGCCGGTGGACCCTTCAGAGAGGCTTGAAGCGTTTGCCGCGGTAACAGCAACAACTGCGTGGTGTGCTACATCGCTGAAGTCTTCCTTTACCCCAGCCGAGTCCTTGAGAACCGCCTCTGCCCCCGGATACTCCCTCCCCATTGTCACGCACAGACGCAGCCCACCGGGTAACATATTCGCATCAAAGTCAGGATCCGTCGGGACCAGCAGCAGCTCAAACCTGCACAATATCGAGCTTGCTGCCTCCGGAACACCACTACCTGCTTCTCCACCACCAGTAGGTGCCCCGTGCCCGCAGCTAAGATGACAATTTCCCTGAGTCTCCTTGCTGCAATCGACAGTAAGTGCTGCTGAAGCGAGGGCGCCAGGCGTCGCGTAGTCGGTGCTGCTTGAATGGTTGGCTGCGGGTCGAGCTGCTGCAGCTGGATGAGGAGTCCCTGGGGGGTGGGAACCGGCTTCACGGGGGAATGAACCATCCTTACTTGCGCTGTACGGTTGCTGTTGCAGCAAAGGGAGCAGCAACGGATGGCAAGACAAGAGAGAAAAGGAGCTGCTAAACTGACGCTGCAGTCGGTGCAGCTCCACCACAACAGTGGAGACCCCACCAGCCAACTGGGGTCGCACGCAAGCAGGTCGAGAAGGGACGGGTTTCTGCCGCTGTCGCGGTTGGTGCTGCTGCTGTTTTTCCTGTTGCTTCTGCTGGTGTTGCTCCTTGCACTGCTGCTGCTGTTCGTTGGGNTGCCCATCTTGCTGTTGCGTTCGTCGCTGCTGCTGAGACTCTTGCTGTTTTTGGTGCTGCTCCTCTTGTTGCTGTCCTCGTTGGTGAGGTTGGTGCTGTTGTTGGTCATGCTGTTGAACTTGTTGGTCCTCTTTCTCTCGCGCTACTGGCCGCCACATATACTGCAGTTGCTGCTGCGACCTGCCCCCGCGACTTCGCCATTGTCGCTGCCCCTTATTACTCTGTGTCTCGCTGCGTTCCTGTCCTAGCTGTATCTGTTGCTGGCGCCCCGCCTGTGGCATCCTTTCCGTCCCGATTTTGGCCTCCTTGCAACCTTCTGTCGCGAACGGCAAGGCCACCGATTGGCAAGAGGGACCCTGGGAAGCCTGAGGGTGTTTCGGTTGCTGGCTCCGTTGCTGTCTCCTTACATCACTAAAAGTGAAGTGTCCCTTCATACGGTTCCGCTTCTGGAAATTATTTGGGGTTTCACCTACTTGGGGTGGCCCTGCTGCGATCCCATCAGACGATGATATGAAAAAATTACGAGGGTCCCGTCGGTGTCCAGCCCTCCCCTGAATGCCAT